GGAACAAACGATTACATGACGTGACACGTAGTCATTATAAAAATAATTCTATAACGTTCTACAGAAAATGATAAATGGTTTCAGTTTTTAAGGAAATGATTATAGTCTCATATTTCAAAGTAACATTATTTTGATGGCAGCTTGGAGGCAGATACGGTTACAAGATATTCAACGAAATTGCTATATCTATATACTACTCAACATGCCGTTAAGTTAAGCTTCTACGGCATGTCGAAATCGTTGAAATAATTAAGTAGTTAAAACATTTTTAAAAAGTGTCCAGTTAAGTTTATATGTTAGAAGGTAGATACAAAACTATTAAAAAAATACATACTTTATATCTCTAAAACCCGTGCAAAACCATGTAGAGTTCAGAATATTTAACCAGCTCCACTCTTTTGGGCGAGCCTGTACCTCGATTAAATCCGACCACATTTGCCGAAGAATGAAGAAAAAATCGAGCTTCGTCTTCTCATTTCTTCATTATCGGCTTTATAAATCTGACGCCTGATCGAATACGATTGGAAGATAATCCACGGGTTGATCGTGTTATGTAAATAAAACAAGATCCCAACCCCTGTTTGTTCTGAATGCTAATCTTGCGATACGGCAACATGTCAAGCCATCTCGTAACTCTTAGATTTGACTGGCTGGGAAGGCCGTTTTAATCTTCCCAAACTGTCTGTCCCAACGTTTTTCGCATTTATTTTATTTATTCACGAGGAATTTGTCGCTCATTCACTGCCCATTCAGATCGTATTTGCTGTAGGACAAGAGCGACCTCGGATGGATAGCTCACGTCGTAGCCATTTTCGGTCTTTTCTGTTGTGAATTATTGGCCAAGTTGTGTTTTGAATTTGGTGGTTTATTTTACGTTTATTTCACTTGGAATTGATGTTAGCTGTAACGTCGTAGGGGAGAAGCGAAGTCGGAAAAATTCTACTCACTGTCAAAGTTGTTGGATTTATTTCGATCGTTGGGAAAATTACACTTTTCTAAAATTGATCTGTTTGTTTTTCTTCGAGCATATGGTCGTTCGGAGCTGTAACGACGGGTTTACAGGGATAATTTGGCGAACCCACGCGCAATAATTAACATTTTAGTTCACCGGTGGTTATTTCGTCTTAGGTAAATACAAATCATTATGTCGAAAAGTTTTATTAAACAAACATCATTTGCAAACAAGTTATATTGGATTAACAATGTGGTTTTGTAATATAATATATTTGTGAAAACCAAGGAAATATAGTAGAGAACATAAAATTAACTGATTTTCTTTTAAGAAAAGAAAAAATAATTTCACCATGTGATAAAACTGTTAAAGGAAAATCTGGCTTTACAATTTTTATCTTGACAATATGACCCAAAACAACAATTCAAAATGTCAATAAATATATGAAAACTATCGTGAAATTAATTTCGTTACAACCATTTTGACGATCTGTGTCATTTAATTCTAATTTTCAAACATACAACACTGTGATTTCTTGATTATAAACAACGTTTTATTTGTAACTAACAGCAAATTGACAGTTTCTATGAATTTGCTCACATCTACGCCGATGTTGTTCAATTTGTTTGTAAAAATTAATAATAATAATTAAAAGTTTTTGTTGCTTTTTAAACAAACGTGTGATATTCATGTTAAAAGTGGTTTTAATTTGTTCATACTCACTTTTAACATTCATACCATAAATAACTCTTTTCGAAAATACATTTTCTTTGAACTATTGCTTCAATTCCATATAATTTATAACTAGAATGCAAAATTTTGGGCGGAACACGTTAACACAATCTATCAGAGAGACATTGACCAGTTTATGCCAGTGGTTATTCCTATCATTACTTATCTCAAAACAGAATTAAATAACAAACACCGCTCACGTATGTACGACTAGTACAGTTTCCTCCCCCTATATTCGTAAATGGACCCGTCCAGACGCGTTTACTTCTACAGCGACTTTGACGGTGTGTTCTTCTCAAAATGTTCCCAATCTAGTAACCTGCAGGTTGCTGCAACAACCAGTGTTTTTGTATCTTTATTTGTTTTATAACGAATGAGAACTTCGCTAATGAGTTTTACTAATTCTGCTATTGGAGTCCAAATACAGTTTTACACTGTCGACGGCTACATCAACACGTTACAAATTACTAATGCACTGTTGTCCAATTTAGCACCCTTGTATTTTTTGTAGGTTCAACGAAGTGTTTATTGATGGCAAGCTTGCATGACACTTTGCTTTCCAGTTATATAGTGGTTCTTAATTGTGAAGGAAACGTGCCATTCTCGACTATGTTTTACCGATGATAACATTATTATTAAGTTTTACAGTTTGGGCTGTTTTTTCATAGACGATCAAATATATGAATTTCGTGCTTAAAAACTTTGCACTTATATATCACAGTTTGGCACACAACGTACAAATGTTTACCTCTGGTCAGAATTTTTAAGGTTATTAACTAATTATGTTTAGCGACATTTTCATTTATATTTTCTAGTGGTAGAAACTCAGGTATGATATTACAAAAATCATTGAAGTTTGTTGTTCCAAATTGTAAAGACAGTAAAAATTTGTAAAAATATATGTTATATATAATATATTTCAAAAGGGTGTAGTCCACATAAATGACAATATGCAATATATTTAAAGCAAATGACCAACAAGAAAACACATATTGTCAATTTCTCAGTACCCACATGCTCAACTTCGACTAAGTTTATGTTTATACTAGCTGACCCGGTGAATTTCGTTTCACCTAAAATTTAATTTTCAATCTGCAGAACCGAATGCTTTGAAATCTTGCAAATGTTTTAAACATATGATAAGCATAATAAATTTTTATTCAAAATATATTTACTTATCCCCTCCAAAAAATTGATGACGTCAGCCCAAAATTTTGCCAAATGAATCCTGTCTAAAATGTCCAAAATAGGATGAGTCTATACTTGTGATTTAGCATTACATTCATATTTTTTGGATTTGGTGATATAGGGTGACTCAAAAAAATTAATGAATGGGTCAATCAATTTTATTGATTTAATCAGGAACTACAAAGCCGAATGCTTTGAAATCTAGCAGATATTTTAAAGTTATCATAAGCATGGTAAATTGTTTGTCAAAATGTACTTGCTCATCCCCCCCAAAAAATTGATGACATCACCTCAAAATTTTGCTGAATAAATCCTATCTTAAATGTGCAAAGTATGATGAATCAATACGCATGAATATCTTTTTAGACTTGCTTATATGCGATGTCTCAAAAAAATTAATAACTGAATCAATTTATTTTATTAATTACGTCAGCAACGGCTCACTCCATTTTCTCCGAAAACTTTGGGAATACAATACTGTTATTTTTCAATTTTCATTTTACACTAAATAAAATAAGCCAGTGAAATAGAGAAAGAAGGTGGGCGGGACTAAATTTAGCTTTTTTCTAGTTTTATGAGCAAGCAGTAACCCCGCCCACCCACCCCTTCTTTATTCCAGTGACTATCCTTAATATTGTTCAGTCCTAGATCAGCAAGTTTTAGCCGCGCCCACCCACTTTTTTTTTTCTTAGAAGATGTCATTTACCAAAATCAATCTTTTCTTAACAAGTACTAGCCCCGCACACCCGCCCTCTATTTTCTTAGAGGGTATGTCGTTTGCCACAATCAGTTTTATCTTAGCAAGTACTAGCCCCGGAGGCTGTTAAAAAGACTGTTAATCGTAATTTTTTTTTGTAGTATTTCCCATAACATTTGTTTTTTATTTCTGAAAAAAAAAATGAGCGAACGGGTGAGTGGGCGGGGCTAAGTTTAACTTTTTCTTACAGAATCTTCTATAAGCAAGCAATAGCCGGCTTACCCGCCCTTAGCAAGAACTACATGCATCAATCCGAGATGATATATTTGTCCTTGCAAAAATGTTGATGAGGTCATCACAAAATTGTGTAAAGCAAAAATTCAATTTGAAAATGCTGGATGTTTTATTGTACTTTCGGTGCGAAACAACTTTCGACCATTTTTTTTTCAAAGGTTTTTAGCGGTTTCGCTAAGGTCGTTTTGAGAAAATAAACAAACTGTTACAGGAGAAACAAAATCTTTGAGATAATTTCGATACTCATCCAACTTCACTCCGTCCAAAATTCAAATACCAGTTTCATTCCCAACAGAACTTTAGCAAAATAAAAATACATACTGCAATGTTTTCCTCTTTTCAATTTAATAGTGAAATGCAAAATTTTAGCCTCAAAAATGTACTTGTCGAAGTATTTTTATGGCATTTTCAACTTTTCTCAAAATATATACGCCAGACTAAAAGGATTGGAATGCCTTAAAAAAAAAAATTCAATGTATTATACAATGGGATTACGTGAAGTATATGCCCGCAAATATGCGTCAAATTTTCTTGAAGCACTTTGTATTAAAAAAAAAAAACAGAAGACAATATTGATGCTAGAAAATAAAACAGTTCATAAATTTAATAATTACATTTTTGACCTTTTGTTCCGTTATATTTATGTTCGCTAGATACAGTAGATACAGTTCCAGCAATTTGAAACAGGTGTAAAAAATCAATAAAAATATTTTATTACTGGCCTATATTCAATCAACGAAGTGAAAACAAAAATCACACTGACACAGATAAAACCAGAATGATCAGTAAAAAATTTATTGGCGTTACTGTACACAACCGCCTCCGCGTTACGCCACTGGCGCCCACCATTCTCGTCAGTAGTCTTCGTTTGTATCGAATTCCCATTCACCTTGATGTTTATGTCGTAAAATAATATTCCGGTTAAACGGTACCAATGGTAAACGATAATTGAAGCCGTTAGAGCTACCATGACAAATGGAATTCGGCGTGCGAGGTACTACCCAATAAAAAAAGGAATAGAGCGGGTTTTCATGTAATCCGATAAGAAACAATTTATCAGATAGAGAGTAACAACAAGCAGTGGGTGTATTTGTATAGAGATGTTCACACTGACTGGTCCATAAAAACCATACTCACTTCGAGCGGATATGTTCCTGGCGCTTTGACTATCTTTGACTTTGGGTCGTACATCATCCCGACATCAAACAGAACAAGGGTTGCCGCCGCCCTGAAATAAAGAAACATATTTTAATGCAACGGATCAATTTGAATAACGTGTGGCAAATTAATTACAAAGAAGGTGGGGCCCAATTCGGCCAATTATTAAAATGATTGATCACTCTATACGTTGTAAAGCTTCGGAATAATTAAAGATGATATTTTTTTAAAGCCAACACCTTCGTAATGGGTTGGATCACGCAAGGCTGACCATAACTCGGATATTATTCAGTCTGAATTCTTCAGTAAGACACGGGGTAGACCATGAATCAGCCCAGCAAGAAAAACGATCAGATTCAACATACCAATTATTTAGGACCAGAGTATGCAGTTTATCAAAGAACCAACATTGTTAAAATTGCTGCTTCGCCGTCTGTGTATAATCCAGACGATCAACCAGACCCCGATTTACTGGAGCAATATGATAACTTTTATCAAACAACCAAAAGCTTGCTGGTGTTGTTTCAGATCATGGGTGTTATGCCTATAGAACGGTCCGCAAAGGGAAAAACAACATTCAGGTAACACGTTTTAGAAAAACTCAAATTCTAGAGAGTGTTTGTTTTTAACGAATTTGTTTAATTAAATTTATAACAATGTCGCTTTGATTTTTCCTACCAAGAAGTTTTTCTTATTTTTTTTAAACCAAAAACTTTGTTGAATTTAAATTAGCTTTCAACACGTCAGGATTCAGTTTTTACAAAAAAATAGCACATGTAGATATATTTTTACGCATGTCTGTGCTTAAAGAAGAAAAAATGCCAAAAAATTGAAAAAAGAGAATGAAATATTTTTGTCACTCTATTAAATATAATTAAAATGTAAAATCGAATGGTGGGTGCTGAACGTCAAATCTTAATCATTCAAACTTTCGAAAAAATCTTTTTATAACCTCTTAAACCTTTGATTTTAAAAGATTAGTTTTTTTTTAACTTGATTTTCCAAAGTTTCAATGTGAAAGAGGCAATCAATAATAATGAAAATAACCCTTTTCTGTTAAATGAAACTACAAAAAGAAGTCACTGGGTATAAAGTACAATTTAAAATACTAAATAATTAAATTGACGTTGTAACATTTCTTAAACCTTTTTGGTTTCATGAACGTACGAATTTAGTTTTTCTTGAACTTTTCGATGAAATGGAGATGGTAAATCAAGTTTAATTTTTCAGCACTTTTTACAGAAATGTAAGAGAAATTTATGGCAGAATATAATATCTACCACATTTCAACTAAAACTGTTAAAATCAAAATAAGTTCGGGTTTCACAAACGACTGTGTAAACTTTAACGATCGAGAGTAATAATTCGTTCAAGAATTATTGCCATAACTAATAACTATAGAATGAGGCTAATTGTTGTTGGTGAGATCTGGCACTTAAAATTTATAAACAAGCTGCATCTAATAAAATAAGATAAAACGCAGTTATAATAACTGTCAACCAAATTTATATATTATGTTTACAATAATTTTACTAAAAGCTGCGATTTATTTTATGCAATAACTCCGTTAATGAAGCAATTTTAGTTCCCAGCTTTGAAATAAGAATTAATGAATAATAACTAACTCTTTAAATTAATTTAGCACAACAAGCAATATTCCTGTAGAATGAAACGTACAGAATAAATGAAATGAAAAAATGAAGAAAATAAATCATGCTGAGACCATACAAAAGGTTTATCACTGGGGTAGATTTGTTTGAAATAATAAAGAATAACAGACGAAGTCATTGAGTTTTGTTTTTCGAAAAATAAAATCTTTGAGACATGAGAAAATTAACACAAAGTGTTTAGTGTTAAATAGTACATGCTACACATTTTTTATACATGCTAATATAAAAAAAGATAGAATTTACAACACTCGACCACTTTGACCAACCGATTTGATTTGCTTAATGATTATTATCACATTCTATGCAGGTGCATCAAAAAATTTTGGAAAAATTGCAGAAGCTATTTGAAACCAAAAATTAAAATTATGACCTATGTTCGATCTCATTCAGTTGTGTAATTATCAACGGGCGGAATTGTGTTTCATACGCTAGATCCAGTGCTGTCACGGCGATAGTTTGATTACAAATATATTTTTCTTTTGGATTATATCAACATAATATAACATTTCAAGTTCACAAATCTGTGGTCCTGTGTTTGAAAAATTAAAAAGGACATCGAGTATTATTTTTTGAAGTAATATAGTAATATAGAAGTAGTTTTTTAACAAGCTGTAAACACTCCTAAGCGACGCACTGGCTACGACCTTGTGGACCAGATCAAAGCGTCCCCGCTACTCGCCGTAAAACACACCTTGCTTCAACTGGGGAATTGTATCCGTAAGATAAATTCCCGCCTACTGGTAATTATAGAAAATGAGACAAAAAATCAGTTTTGATGGTAAAATTTCGAAATTATTTTTTAAAATCGAAGACAGATCGTATTTAAAATTTTAATATATTATTTTTAGAATTTATCAGTATTATATTTTATGTATACAGGTGAGTCACTAGGTGCGCGTTTGTCGCTATTTCATTAATTATTATGGATAGAAAATAATAATCAAAGTACATTGTGCAGCACATACAAAAATTATATGCACAGATTTGTTTTTGAGGCCCAACATACAGTTTAGTTCTTTTTTTTTTAATAATAGACTTTATATTTGCATGTTTTCACTCTGGTCTCTGTTTAGTCTGTACAACGATATTTTATTTTTGACATTTTGATCCCACGTGGCCCCGTTATTTCAATTTATTTTCAACATTTTATGTATAGATAAACAAATGTGGTTTGTTGTAGCTCCAATAAGAATGACTGTTAGTTATTTATACAAGGTTTATTAAAAAATCTGAAATATAATTTTGTAATAACGATGTTTTAGTTTTATCAAATAGAACACTTTGAATTTTATTACTGCATCTTAATCAGTTTTTATTCTCTTTTGTTGAGATGTTACTCCGTCTCTTACAAATTAAAAATCACAGAAACTATCAGCTTTAGATATAGCAAACATTTAGCAAAAAAGAAAGAAAATAAAGCACAAAAGGATGCAATAATAAAACACACGGTATGGAAAAAACTGAGATGCGGTTATTTGAAAATTATAATATTTAATTTTTTTACAAACACTGGGTAGGTATATATAGTAAGGTTCAACTTTTTGTTATTAAAATAAAAAGTATACCTTTATTTGTTTATCCACATAATATTGCAATACAGAAAATAACTCTGTGGCAACGTCGTATCGCTGTAAAATCTTAAGTGGGATTTATAAACTTGGTGTTGACGTTAATTTCCCGTTGCAGTTGCTTTTCCCACTAACGTTGCTTTTCGAGCTGAAAATTGTCATTTTATAAACTGCGTTGCCCAGTGGCCCTTGATAGTAACTTTTGTAAGAATAATTCTGATACCACTTAACCTTGGCATCTCGATAAGGGTCGAGAGTACGCAGAGGGCGCAGAGACGCGCATGACAGAAGATGATGACGCACGATACAGGGCACTTATGTAGAGTTCTTGTTGTACTACGTCGTACTTGTAACGCAGTCACCCTTTATTTGAATAAAATATTGAAAAGAAGGTTTTATTCTTTTTACACTTTGATGTTCAACTTTTGCTGTATTTAAAAGGGATGTAGAAGAAAAGTGGAGGATTTAAGTTGATTACTACAAAAATTTACCATTTTTGACATGTTTTCAGTCTCTTGCTGTAGAAATAAATCGGAAAACGATCATGTATTGATTTCGATCGTGAAAGCCTCCGAAATTAAGTCTACACATATTAAGCGAAAAAGCCAAACATGTTTCAAATGGAAAATTTCTATAAGGAAATATCGATTTTGCAATTAGCTTCCACACCATAATTGTAAAATCCATATTTCCTGGCAAAAATGTATCATTTTAACCAAATGCTAAGTTTTTTGTTGTGAAAAGATGGCAATGTACAATTGGTTTCAAAAAAAGCGCGACAAATTACAATGACATAAACGTCATAGTCCCATTGCTTTTCATTGATCTATGAGAACCTGATTTGCTCATCTTGTCCCGTTTTTTGGTGAAATCAACTGTATATTAAGAAAATAAAAAGGCAAAATATAAGATGCGCCCACCCACCCTATCTTAAATCTGATGATTTTTTTATTCGTCATAAGCCGGGGGGGCGGAGTCTAATAGTAAAATCCTTATTTTTCTACGAGAAATTACCATGTGAAATATATTCTTAAGCAATCGTGTTATATAAAGAAAACTAAATGTATTAATTAAAAAAGAAAACCAAAAGAGAAGCCCCACCCATCCGACTCGCTCTCAATCGTGACGAATTTTTCATTCGTTGTCAGACCAAGGGGCGGAGCGTAATTGGAAAATCGATATTTCGCTATAGAAATTTACCATTTTAAACATGTTTTAAGTTTCTTGTTGTGAAAAGATGACTTGTTTTGTTTTTGTTTTTTTCCTGTATTTGAGCGTAAGGCCTGTAGGAAAATAAAGTTATTATTATTATTATTACACATATTAAGAAAAGAAGGCAAAATGTAAGCCCCGCCCACCCGCCTTATCTCAATTGTGATGATATTTTTATACGTCGTGAGCCAAGGGAGCGGAGCTTTATTGCAAAACCCTTATTTCTCTACAAAAAATAAAAAACATGTTTTTGAGTAATGTGTTGTTCAAAACATACTATGCAAAATCGATACTTTCCTACAAAAATTTAAACATGTTTTAGCTTTCTTGTTGTAAGAAGAATACTACACTATACATATTAGGAAAAAAGGGCGAAACGTAAGCTCTTGTGGTTATAATACCTAATCTGTTTTTTGGCAATAAATCTTGTTGATTTCAACGTCGAGAATCATTTTTAACAATGCATAAGTACTGACAGAAAGCTACAGTTTAGAAAATGATGGCAGCTATTTAAAATATGAGGGTTTAGGTGAACGGGTGAATAAATGGCTTAATATTAGTGGATTTCATTATCTTGTAGCATCACCAGAGCTGCGGAAAAAGTAATGGCCGCTATGGTGACGAAAGAAACGACTTAGTCAGCACGATCTAGTCATTAACCCAAAGAAATGTGTTTTTGGCGTCGACACTCTTAAATTCTTAGGTGTTCAAGTTTCGTCAGATGGCATCAAACCTCTAGCAGAAAAAGTTCAGGCTGTACAAGACATGGAATTTCCGAAAACTTCAAAGGCTCTACAGAGATTTTTGGGAACAATTAACTACTACCGGCGTTGGATCCCGAATGCTGCCGAGTTACAATCTCCATTGAACTGTTTACTAAATGGCTGCACTCGTAAAGACCGACCAATTATCAGTACTCCAGAAGTAGTTGAAGCATTCGACAAATGCAAATCTTCTTTGCTGAACGTGGCTCTTTTAACGTATCCAGCACCTCACAGTAAGTTGAGCATTGCAACTGATGCCTCCGATACTGCTGTTGGCGGTGTTTTGCAACAACTCGTGGACAACGAACAACAACCCATTGCTTTCTTCTCGAAAAAACTCACCGGCACAGAAAGACGCTACAGCACTTACGACAGAGAGTTGCTTGCTATTTACAAAACAATTCTCCACTTTCAACACTTCCTCGAAGGTCGTATTTTTACAATTTTCTGCGACCACAAACCTTTGATATATGCGTTTCAGAAAAAACCAGAAAAATCCAGCCCTCGCCAAGCACGACAGCTTGATTTAATATAACAATATTCTACCGACATTCAGTATATCAATGGTATCAATAACGTGCCTGCCGACATGCTTTCGAGAATTGCTACAATCTCTTGCAAGGCTTTAGACTCTTCAGTGCTAGCTACAGCACAAGCTGATGATAACGACCTCCAACGCTTGAAACAAGAAGGCAAATTCACCTTTCAAGAAATTCAAGATCCTTTGTCAGCTCAGCATCTCTGGTACGAAACGACGCTAGGAAGAAATCGTCTATACATTCCGTCTCCGCACCGTCGTCACATCTTTGAATCTACGCATAACATCGCACATCCTGGCACAAAAAGCTCCATTAAATTAATTTCCAGAAACTATTTCTGGCCAAGTATGAGAAAAGACACGTCGAACTGGGTTAAGACCTGTCTTCAGTGTCAGAAAAACAAAATACATCGGCACATCAAATCGCCGATTGGAACTTTCTTGGATCCCGACGCAAGACTTTCGCATGTCCACGTAGATATAGTTGGTCCACTTCCACATTCAGAAGGTTTTGAGTACCTATTTACAGCTATTGATCGCTTCACGAGATGGCCGGAAGCCATCCCCATCACTAATATAACGGCTGAAACTTGTGCGAGAACACTTGTCAACCATTGGGTTTCTCGCTACGGAGTGCCCTCACAAATAACAACTGATCGTGGTACACAATTCGAATCAGTCCTCTTCTCGGAGCTTCGCAACTTAATTGGAGTTAACAGACTTCGAACGACCGCCTTTCACCCTATGTCGAATGGTCTTGTAGAAAGATTTCACAGGAGGCTTAAGACAGCTCTAAAGTGTCATGACGTTCAGTGGGTACGAGCACTCCCTCTTGTGTTACTTGCACTTCGAAACGAAGTGAAGGAAAACATAGAAGCAACACCATCAGAACTTCTTTACGGTACAACATTAAGAATGCCTGGCGACCTCACAGACCCGCGACTGATACAGACTTCACAACCATTTGCGGATTCAACATTCGCCGATAAGATCAGAAACATTATGCAGAAGATAGCCTACACTAGAACCACTCACAACCGCGAACAAGACGTTTACGTGCCAAAAGACTTAGGAACTGCAAATTTCGTTTTTGTGCGCGTTGATCGTGTTAAACGGCCTCTCGAAGCACCGTACGATGGTCCGTTTAAAGTGTTAGATAGAAAGGACAAGTTCTTTACGCTTCTTATCAATGGTAAACCAAGTACCGTCTCTATAGATCGGCTCAAAGTCGCCTACATCGAACCAGATAAGCAGTATCCCACGCAAGCGAACATCACTCCAGAGAATACTTCACATCGAGATCCTGCACCAGTGAAGTCACCGTCGACAACGCGCTGTGGACGTGTGGTTCGGTCACCTGTCCGTTTCGGAACCGTAATCACAAATACTTAATTTTCAATATATTGTTTGTCTCGTTATCACATTGTTAATGAGTTATCTTAATTTTCGTTCGCGCCTCTCACTAGGAGGGGGGTACTGTAGCATCACAAGAGCCGCGGAAAAAAGTAATGGCCGCTGTGGTGACGAAAGAAACAATTTTTAGAAAAGTCTGTTTTTCGATTAAATAAAAAATAAATAAAAGTTTCCAATTTATAAAGTGCTTAGTTTAAATTCACGGACCTTCGACCACATTGCCCACAATCTCTATTAAAATTTAATTTTCGTGGGATTAGTACTGTCAACCAGAAAGATGTCCGGGGATTTTGCTTCAAGTTGGCAGCATTGTACACCACCGCAATTTGATTGGTTGAAAACCCAACGTCAACGGCAACGTAACAGCGAAAGTTAAAAATTGGTTATCTCGCTTGTCACCCCAACGGCGTGCTAAATTTCAACGGCAACGTCAACGGATGATATAAACGACGCATACCTTTACTGCGTATTTATCGGCAACGTTAACGGCGAACGGCAACGTCAACGGCGAACAGCAACGTCAGCGCCAAGTTTATAAATCGACCTTTATAAGAGTCTAATTAGAACAAGTAAAAATATATCTAGTCTATTCCATTTAAAAAAGGTTGCACGTCACGCCTCAAAAACAGTGCATAGTTAAAAACAATTTTAATCTATGCTAGTAGAAGAATCGTATAACCTTAATCTTTAACTCCTTTTATATTTCTAATAATCTGTGAATGGAGAATGCGCTTAGTGACTCACCCTGTATATATATACAAAAATTTCTAGTAAACAACAACTTTTACTAGCACTCTAAGAGTAATCAAGTTATATTTATATTATTAAGATAAGTTAGCAAAAAAGTAGCTTTCCTTCGCCTATTTCCTACTGAACGAATAAGACTCAAAAGTTAGAATCACACACTGTAATTTTTTCAAATTTTGAACTCGTTTCCAGAGTGAACGTGAACCTTCCCCTTAATGATTTTTTTTTTTAATTTCAATAAAATGAAACTGATTTGCGGGATGTATGACAGCACACAAATTATTTTTACTTCCCGAGTGTAAGCGAAGAAATAGCTCTCCCGTTTCCGTCTGTCTGTCTGTCCGTCTGTCCGTCTGTCCGGATTTTTATTAGACAGATAATCTCCTAACGTACAGGGCCGATTGTTGCCAAATTTTATATTGAAAGAAAAATGTAGTCAGGAAAAACTAAATATAAATTCTAACAAAAAATAAAATTGCTCTGCTCCGAATAGAGTTTTTACCCGAAACGTCCAGATTTTTGGAAAAAAATTCAAAATTATAAAACAACATTTTGCAATTTAATTTTGAATGTGCTAAACCGAATGCTTTGAAATCTTGTATATGTTTAAAAGTTATAAAGGGCATAATAAATTTTTAATCAAAATATATATATTTGCTTATCCCCCTCCAAAAAATTGATGACGTCTGCATAAAAGTTTGCCGAATAAATCCTATCTAAAATGTACAAAATATGATGAGTCTGTACTTGTAATTTATCACTCCATTCATATTTTTTGGATTTGCATATAGAGAGTGACCCAAAAAAATGAATGAATGCGTAAATTTATTTTCTTGATTTAATCAGGAACTACAAAACCGAATCCTTTGAAGTCTTGGAGATGTTTTAAAGTTATCGCAGGCATGGTAAATTTTTGATCAAAATGTATTTGCTTATCCCCCCTAAAAAATTGATGAGGTCACCCCAAAATTTTGCTGAATTAATCCTATCTAAAATGTACAAAATATGATAAATCTGTACTTGTGATTTATCATTCCATTAATATTTTTTGGATTTGCGTACACAGGGTGACTCAAAAAAATTATTATCGTATTTTAGGAGCGAGGGAAGTTCTGTCAAAACAACTTTCGACCAATTCTTTTTTTCTGTGGTTATTTAGAAAAGTGTGCCGAGACGTGCGGCTAAACAAAAATTTAGTGAGAGTCATACGAAAACGAAAAACACGTGTATACATATTTAAACATTTGTCAAGTATTTTTTTCAGATTAGCCGATTTTATCAAACTAGATTCGGATAGTCCACATTATATGTAAACTAAACATTCGTTATGATGCACCCTAAAAATCTAAAATAATAACAAAATTTAATTTTTTAAAGTCAAAAGATACAGATATTAGAACGTAAAATGGGAGTGAGGCATTCGGTATAGCTGGGCTGTCTGTGTTATAGAACTTTCTGAAATTATGACCTAATTTACTGTCCACTTTAGAAAACTGCATTTGCGTTATTAGAGTGGATAATTTTCTATGCCATTATCTGCAAGGACAATTACACAAGTAAATCTTCACGGAACTCCATAGTGTGAAGTTAGGTCATCTCAATTCAAGTTACCCCAAATAAGGCAACTCATGCAAGGCGTTGTCAATTAATCTTCCTTTAATATCGCACGCATTAAACCCGATAATTTTTCATGCGACGGACGTCCAGTTAAAAATATACCTCAAAAATAATACACCTCACATTTCAGCGAAAATTACTTAATCTGTTCCTATTTAAATAAACACTAAATCACTGCCAGCCGCTAATTTATCAAAACTTTAATATCCCTGAGCTGCCGCCGAACATATAGTTACACCCTCGCACTTTGGTGGAAATGACCATTTTACATAATAAATTACACCTATGGGGAAATACCTACATGCCTCGGAAACAAAAATATGAGTACTAATGAAAACATCAACCACAACAAATTAATAATTTTCAGATGGCTTTCGTCAACATCAATATACGCCTACTGCATCTTTGCTGGGGAAACGATCTTCGTTAGCATGGTTTTTCGAGAAAGATTAAATTTAATACTACAACCTGGAAAGAGATTCGATGAATATATTTATGGTATAATATTCTTGAGCATTTTAATTCCACACTTTATGTTGCCTGTTGCTGCTTGGACTAACGGGGCGGAGGTGGCCAAGTTTAAAAACATGTGGACACGGTTCCAGGTAAGGTACTTATTTAAACAGTAAGTTATGGATTTCAATTAAACCCAGCAATTAGAATTATGCGGTCTTCGTGCCACAATTTCAATTTCAATTATGAATGCAGAAATTATGTAATACGTGTGCATAATTCATGACATCCAGCTCATTCGGCGATAATTATGATGCAGACTCACTAACATAATTTGCAACTGAGTTTTATTAGATACTACAATACGTGGTGCTAATTAATGATGTGGTGATAATAAAAGAGTTTGCTAATTAATTAGGAAATTTCAATCATTTGCTACATATGTTTAGGTAGAAAAAAAATATTCATAAAGCTATAACACAAAATTGCACTACTCTAGTACAAAGTATTCTATTTCAGAAATGTAGATTGTAAAAACGTATTAAACTGTATCAAATTAAGCTGTAATTACTGTATAAATAGCTAGATAAAATATTGAAAATTATTCTTAACGATGATGAAGACGAAATGAAGGTATTCATTATTCTATACATATACATTCGGGACGTTGAATTTACAGTACGCAAGTTAACAAGTAGCTATTAAAACTTGTTTTATTTAAGATTAAAAAATAAATAGATGAAATAGGCCTGTTACACTATAACTGTAACAATATATTGTACGGAGCAAACAATAAAAAACAGGTTAAAAGACAGTCATGGATTTCTGTAATACTGTTCTTGATCTTGCATTTTCAACAAAAAGTTTCAAATTGACGGTAATCTGATAAGGCGGAAATTCTATTGAAGACAAGTCTTCAGAAATCCATGACCATCCATGATCGTGATTTTTATTGCTCTCGCGGTAATGTGTATTTACTAGTGAGTCAATAATCGTGTGCTCTTCGATATGTAATGAACTTATTAGAGATTAAAAAATTTAAAGCCCAAAGTTGCAGGAATCTTTCTTAAAATTTTTTTTTTTTGAAACTCAACATACAACTTTGTCTTTTTTTTTTAATGAAACACCTATACATTTTTAGATGACTTAACTGGTGTCTTCTTAAACTTTACAAGCATATATTTATTTTTGAAATTCCAATCCAAGGTTGCTGGATTATCGAGTTGTTTGTTCCATTGTTTATCTATCAGTATGAAACATTGGAAAAGTAATATTAAAAGTAACGCTTATATTGTAAAAAAATTTAAAAATTAATTTATCAAAAAAAATTCTTCTAATCTAATTAAATTACAGTAAGTATTAAAGTAATAACCTAGAACAACTTGACAATATCTTAAACAAAGATAAAATCCTTGCTGTAAATTGCGGATCATATAGAAACTTCATTTCTTATTATTTGTCAACACTGCTTTAAACCTATTACATTTGCAAAAAAAAATATTAGAAGATAAGAATCTATACAATAAACATTATTTGCGGAATTTGCAAAGTTAATCGTAGCAGTTTTATTTATATTCAATAGTAGGTAGTTGCGCACATGTTTTAGTAGCATTTCTTGGGCTTACCTCAGAAGTTCAGATCACCAATATTGAAAATACATTAAAGCTTAAACTTACTACTTCTATGCAATGCTGGCAGTTTACTTTTCTAAAAATGTTGTTGTTTTAAACTTTTATAAGGAACTAATGAAATGGTGGGTATCCAGCAGACACCAAACTGCTAACTTTATAACCAAATTGCGAAACATCTTAAAGACTTCTAAGAATGTCTCGAAATACTTATGATCCACAACTGTAATGATCTTATTTACATACTAATTATGCAATTAATTGTTTGTGGTACCTACTACATTTTGTAATCTCGAAGAGTACTAATAGATAAGAAAACTTTGAGATCATTGGTGTACAGTAGCTTTTGACAAGTTTAAAGTGTTTACGACATCATTGACGAATAGCAAAAAAAGCAAGGGGCCAAGATTGCACCCTTGCGGGACACCAGACGTAGGATAAAATGGCTCGGAAACAGAATTACGGTACTTAGCTGAAAGCTTTCTATTAAGTAAGTATGATTCAAGCAACAGGAGCAATCTGATCAAAGGCTTTACGAAAATCTATGTGGATAACATCTACTTAGTTATTTTGATCAATAGCCTCTCAAACATACTGAGTAAGACAAGACAGATTCGTAACCATAGATCTTTTCTCCACAAAACCATGCTGGAAGGGCGAGATTAAACTTTTAACCGAAAAATACAAACGTTTAGAAATAACAGATTCAAAAATTTTTGAAAAGTTGCAGAGAACACATGTTGGTCGGTAATTTTCAATCATCGCCTTGTTTAAATACTGAAGTAACTGTGGCTTCTTTCCAGATGTCAGGAAAATACGAAATCTTAATAATAAGGTTAAACAGAGAAAGGAGAGGTTTTACAAAGATCGATTTTACGATAAAGCTGGGAATGTTATCTACACCTGCGATTAGAGCATCTTTGGATCGTTTTAACGCTTCCAGTATTTCATCTTCTTTTACATGTATTCTCAATTTTTATTACAGAGTTGCTCAAACCACTTTGGTTTAAAACACAAGAATAAGAAGAGTCAGCAATGACTTATACGCTTCTAAAGAAAGAGGCAAAAGCATTAACAATTTCAGGTGGTGTCTGAAGTTCCTGATCAGAAAATTTCATGATAGCTGGAATTCTGGACTTTCCTTTTTTAGTTTGAACATAGGACCAAAACCTCTTAGGGTTGGACGTGAGTGACGACTGAACTTCGTTTAAGTATCTAAGATAGCTGGATTGAATGAAAGACCTGCATTTAGATCTGTGGTATTTACGTAAAAGCATCATAAAAATATTGGCTTTTGTATTGTCTGAATTTATCTATCTGGATTCATAAGAAAATGACCAGAAGGTTTTATTATAAAGTGTAATGAAATATTTAATGCAGAATGGTAGTCATCTTCTGGTACAAGGGGAAGATCCGACTGTTTTACAGAGCAATGAAGATTAGAGAATAGCAGATCTAAAATGCGATTGAATTTGTTATAGGTATTATTGTCCTGAGAAAAATTATGAAAATTCGCAAAATTTTTGAGCAAGATTCTAGCTCTATTATCTAATTTGGAGCTACATATTATCTAAATTTGCTGAAAAACCTGGTAAGTTAAAGTCGCCAAGAACAACATTTTATCCATATGAGATTCTTCAACAGCACTGAATAAATTCAGAAAGAGTTCATAATCATTGAGGTTAATTGAAGGAGGAATATGGACAACGAAGACATAGAGAGAGAGTCCACATGAAGATTTAATTTTAAGACATTTCTCTGTGTTAACTTTAATATCATTCCGTACACCCCAATTACATATTCGATTCAAATCACTGAGAAGAAGGGCACAATCCAGAGCTGATGTATTTTTGAAAAATACACACCTGATTTCAGAGAAATGGTGTTTGAAGACGAGCTTACAATTCTAACAACCTAAGACCTATTTGATATGAAACTTTCAATCCACTGATTAGACAAACATTTCATCAAAATGCACAGTTCTTTGTTTGTGTACCAAGATTTTGTGGTTAACCCTATCAAAAGCTTTCGCCAAGTCCGCATCAATTAAAAAATTTTAGTACAAGAGCAAATTTGTGGTGGTGGAACGACCTTGACAAAATCCGTATTGAACATCACTTTTATGTGCTTAACTACCATTTTTAACTGTATGGAAATTAAATGATCAAAAAGCTTAGGCAAAGTCGATTGTATACAAAAACCTCTATAATTCGAAATCAATTCTTTGTCCCCAGATGTGTGTATTGGAACAAGGTAACTATTTTTATTCACAATCGCTCAGTAATGTAAAATTTTCAAAGTTTTTAAAAGTTTGGAAGTGAGCTATTACATACTTCACTTAAATCTCAAGGGTGGAAAGTGACATGTGTCACTTATCTGTCATTTTCCACCCAAGAGATAGAAGTAACTGTCACTTTCGAGCCTAAAAGGGTACGTATGTGTAATTAATGGTAGATGGAAATCAACGATTATAAATGGAGACCCTGTTGTCAAGACTTTACCACTTTTTGATTGATTCCCCCATTTTATTTCACGTTTGTCAATGTTAAAAGTTGAATATTATTAGCAATTTGTAGAATAAATCTATGTACTTAAAATGATTGTGAATATCGAGAACTAGTTCACCTCGAGGCTGCTCCTCTCGGTAAACTATAGTTCTGTCGACGGGAAAGAAATACTTTCCGCCTCGGTATGTAACGTACCATTCCACAGATTGGGAAATTCTCCAGAATGCAGAGATAAATTGAATAAATAAGTTATCGATTTGGTTATGCTAAAAACACATGGAATTAGAAACTGCCATAGAATTAGATCAGGACCACCACTGACTGAAGTTTTTAAACTTAAAATGCTGTTAAGGACTTCTTCTTCGGTAAACCTATGAAAAGTAAAGGAGACCTCACCTGAAACACCTATTCTGTTAAAATGTATATTGTCCGAAGGGTCACTATACACACACCCCTTGAATGAACTGAGCAAATAAATTAGCTACTGATTCTGGCCCAACGGTTTTCTCACCATCAAATTTCATGCGACTTGGATATCCCAGATTCTTGTTTTGATTTTTCCAGAACTCCCAAAAAGATTGAGAAGGGTCGAAGTATATTTCGTCCTCAACTTCTTCGATATATTTCTGATAACATTCATTCGATTTATTATTACATAAAACTCTAATACTAGAAAACTCCATGTAATTTCCGTTTTCACCAGTTATTTTATATCGTAAATGGAGCTGTTTCCTTAAACGGATTAATTTTTTAGTTCGCTAGAAAACCATTTTGGAAACTGGGATCTTAGAAATTTCTTTTAGGCACTAAATTATGGATTACGTCATAAATTAAATTATAGAATGTGAGAATTGCCTGGTTAATATCTTTATCTAAGAAAATTTCCTTCCAATTGATTTGACACAATCGATAGTTAATTTCTTCATAATCAACATTTTTAAAATTACATATAATGTACCTCTTCATATTCTAAATGTCGCTGATTTAAATTACAAGTAACCTCAAATTCATAAATAGAGTGAAAAACTGATTCATTTAATAGGAGCTTATGGGTATAAGTAGGCTGTAGGTCCATAAGATTGGTAACAATAAAATCTAAAAACTTGTTGAATTCATTAAGCAACTGATTGACTTGAAACACACATATTTAAGTAAGCAAAACAATTTGCAACAGTCAGAGAGATTTTCGGATAGAAGCTTTGTTTCGAAGATACCGGGCGATAAAAATAAAGTAAAACTACGATGTACTACACTGGGCCTACGGAGCACAAGAAATGTCGAGAAATATATACGTATCCATTGTGAGTTGGCATCGTTTTCTCTCTCCAGTGGAAAATGATGGAAATTTGGAAAGTCGGATAACTGAAGGGAGTAATGTAATAAGAGAATGTTCGGCAGTCAATGCGGAGAGTAAATTAAGAATCTTTAATGCAAGGTAAATTAATAAAGCATTGTTTTGTCCCCAAAAAACTTTTATCGCCCTTATCTTCGAAAGAAAACGTCTTTTCAACAACCATCCAAGGAACAAAAATTGTAAAACTGCCGAAATAAAAATCTTCTTAATTTTCGCTGCATGTTTAGTAAACACCCTATATAAGTTATCACTTATTTTAGCTATTCTACTGTAATATTTTAGTCATTTGAAAAGGTAGAAATTTGAAATTTGGAGCAGTATGCTAACGGAAAACCGGTGTTTAATCGATATACTTCCTATACATCATCATTACTTTTTCCGAAAATAAGATCAATTTTTTTTATCAAATAGAATGTGCATGAATGTATTTGATAATTTTTTTTTAAATATTTGACTTACAAGATCCTACTTTTCTCATCCCACTGTAATATTTCCGCTATTTGAAGACACAAAATTTTGAAATTGGGTACCCGTAATAATTACAGATTTTTTGGATAAATGTGGCAACAGTAACAGGAAAATTCGGATCCCACTATAATACTCATTAGCACCAACATTTTCGCTTCTGTAGTATACCTTCCACGAGGTATAAAAAATAAAATCTGTCCTTAAATAAATTTAAATATAAGGGTGGATTTTTAAAGTAGATAAAGAAACATATTGCACTACAGATTTCAAATGAGATTTACTTATTTAATATAAATTTTAGGCAGAGAGGAACAGACAAATTTCTGTTAATGTTTTATCTACCTAGGAATAATTATTTAAAATTTTAAAACAATCTATTCATCAGTTTCAAAGATAATCTCTCCAATATATTTATATGCAACAGACAGACTAGTTTCAGTTTTAGTCTTCAAGCTGTGAAATGTCAAGTCAGACTATGCATTCCCTATTACAATACTTCCCTTCAGTTGGTCGTGAGATAAACAACACCTCAGCTTAATTGTTTTTTAACATAAAAATTGTTTTATTTTGTCTTTGATTTTTATTCATTTCATTCTGGAGTCCAGTTTACAATTGTGAAGACAAAAAACGTTAATAAGGAAGGTGAAATTTTGAGAGAACATGAATTTGAAATTAAGAGAAATTCTGTTACTGAAAATATTTGTGCTAGAAAACTGATAATAATTGTAGACGAACTCGAAACGCGCTGACAGTTAAAAGAGATTTTGAAAAATAAAAGTTAACCTTTACTTTCTATTTATGTATGCTTGTAGCCAATGCCTCTAGTATTTACTGCAACATTGTCTTTTTGTTCCAGTTAAAATATTTCCAAGTGACAGGTACTCCCATCATCTTCCGCAATTTATCACTAATAACCTACACCCTCTGTATAATGTCCTGGGTAATGGGTGTCGCCGTGATGTTGGCGCAGTTCTACCTCCAAACCGACATGCTCCTGTGGCACACATTCGGCTACTACCACATCCTCGCAATGCTCAACTGCCTTTGTTCCTTGTGGTTCATCAACTGCACGGCCAAAGGACGTGTGGCCGTCTGGATGGTACAAAATCTGCACAAAGCTCTCGAATCCCCCGACCCAGCCAACCTGCTGGGAGCTTACAGAGACTTATGGGTGGATTTGTCCCACATGATGCAGCAATTAGGCAAGGCCTACAGCGGAATGTATAGTATGTACTGCCTGCTGATTTTATTGACGACCATCGTGGCAAGTTACGGTTCTGTGACGGAGATAATGGACCAAGGGTTGTCGTTCAAAGAAGCTGGTTTGTTTATTATCGCTTTTTATTGCATGACGCTGCTTTATGTTATATGCAACGAGGCGCATCACGCGTCGAGAAAAATGGGCCCTCAATTCAGGGAAACACTCCTCAATGTTAATTTGAGCGCTGTCGATCAACGGACGCGACAGGAGGTGAACATGTTCTTGACGGCCATCGACAAGAACCCGCCGACGATGAATCTTAACGGTTACGCCAATGTCAACAGGAAATTAATATCGTCGGTGAGGTGCTTTAATTATCCTCTTCTTTCTAATTATTGTGGTCGGGTTTGTAATAAATCACAATTTTGCGATGCCAGTTAATTGTGGCAAATTTAAAGGAAACTAATTATGATGCGATTTATTTAAGAGAATTACCCCAGTCAAGTTGATTTTAATGAAATATATAAAATTACTTAAAACGGAGCAGTATTAGGTTTGAACTACTCTAACAGTTATAATTTATTTTTTACATTAAGTTAAGTTCACTCCCAAAGAGACAAAAAAATGTCGTCAGTTTAAAGTTTCTTGAATAGTTTTCACGAAATTATTTTCTATGAAGTTATCCATCGACTGCTTAAACATTGGAGTTTGTTATTTCAAATGTATTGTTTATGTTTTAAAAAATGTCCAATCCATACCTTCACACCATGTCAATAACAACTTATATAAATAGTGAAAAACAAATTACCTTATAAAATGATACGTAGAATTTAAACAAAATATGTGAAATAAATGTGCCATGACAAATCTGCCATATTGTATAAAGTATTTTAAGTCTCCAAGGATTTATTAAAGCTCGGTATTCGCCTCCTCCATCTATGTACACTCGCCTCAAAAGGTTTGCTTACATATCGTGTCGTACAAGAAAAACTACTGCTTTCTGCTCTTTATAACAGATTTTCAAAATACAGAACAAAAAAATGATACTTAAAGTTAGCAAATTTTAGACAAAATTTATTTACACAAACTTATTCTTTTTAAGTCAATATGTAATTTATAACGTGCTATATAAATATTTCACGAAAACTGGCTTTGAAATACTTAGTTGTTAAAACTTTCACTTTTCTAAATTACAGGACACGGAAAATTCAAAGCTTGCATTTCTTGCACGAGGTATGGATGTAGGCCTTGTTCTTTTAACGCAGAAAGCATTACAAACTATGAGTGCTGATGCCGGGCCCTTCTTCGACGCATTCCAAAATTTATTCTTCGGCTTGCAGTATTGTTTCGGTCTTATCACGATCGGGAGGCTTGAAGCTACCATGATCTCGGAGATGCTGTATCACTAATGTAAATATTCGCGCACACGGAGCGATTTGGAAAGCGCTCGATCCACAATTCGCGGGCCAACTTGGCTTTTCCATCAGCCACACCATAAAGCATTACCACGTGGACACGCTCTGAATCGGACAAATTCATTATTGTCAAAGACGTTAACGAAACATACGACGGCAACCAACTGATACATGACAGCTCTTATCGTGTTTTTGCACGTTGCTTATCAGTGCGCTGCTTTTTTGATACTTAATCCGATTCGTTCTGTGCCATTCATTGAATAGTAGGTCAAGAAACACTATCAGTGTATAACAATTTATATTTAATTTTCAAATAATTTTTTCCAGTCATTTAGAAGCGTGAACTTTACACAGTGCAATAAATCTTATTACGAGCTATTCCGCATTTTTTTATTACACACATTTCGAAATCAGCCTGTATAGCTTCACGAGAAAAATTTGCGTTTATTTGTTAATAAAAGTGCTATTCGTTTTTATTGTGATGGAGTAGATTTTCCTTTCCACCTCGACAGTCTTAACGATCACAGAGACAACTGAAAAAAGAGAAGAGAATCGTTGAAGTAAAATTTTCGCTTCTCTCTAGTTTCCATTAAACATAAAACAAAGTTGTTAGTATTAAAGTAACTAAACGACCTTCATTTTCAAAAGCTGACATGTCATTAATTCAGGATATTTAATTTTATATAAACCCCGACGTTTCTAATAGCTAATAACAGGGAAATTTATCCACATCAAAATGAAGCAGGGAATTATTAACGAAAACTTAATTCCTCGCCTGATTCCGTAGTCTCAAGCTGAGTTTGTTACAATACGCGACAGTTTTCATACTTTACATTCGCTATAATTAGCAAATACACAAGAAAGGCTACGTAATAATACTGTTTTCGAATTAATTTACGTATTCGAACTGTACCTTAAAACACGGAAAATAGCGTTCCTTGCGTTTGTTCATTGGCGCCTTGAGCAAAAATAAACTTCACTGGAAAGATATATTTTAAGCAAGATTTAGTTATCTTCTATTTGAGGCAACATAAATTTAAAAACAACGCGATTTGCCAAGTCGCAGTGTGCAATTCTTCCTGTTCAATCGAATTTTAAATGAAAAAACAAATTAAAAATTCATTTTAAAATAGTAGTAATAAGGTTACAAACCCGATCACAAACTTTAGAAACATAATAACTTTTACAAACTATCATTCTTCTTCCGTCTTGGCGAACAGTCAGAAACCCACAACCCGTGCACAAATTTCCCACTCCTGACTTTAATATGCAGAAATTATTTTCTTAGAGGACAGTTAAGACATAGAACTTTCTTCCAGACAGTGACATCAATAGTAACATATCTAGTTATGTTAATGCAATTCCGACTAACATTGATGCGGAATGCGCAGCTCGCCGCAAGAAGAGCCAACGCTTCTTTATCCTCTGGGAATACGACGACGACGTCCCAAGTCTGAGTCGCAACACTTTCTTTATAATACCAATGTCTGGTATTTGCACGACCTTTTGTATTTGTATTGTAGGTCGTGCACGGCCAAATTAGAGTCGAACACAGCACAACAGCTCATGTAAATCGCCGGGGAGATTCCCTGACTAATTAAATATTTATAGGGTGTAGGCACGTTCTTTAGTTGCAGGCTAATTGTATGTTTTAAACATTGACAGCTGGATCGCGGTGAGTAAATGTGTTTACATCACATGCCGATTAATGTTAGAAAAAATTTTAATAATCTGTAATATATGTAACATTAAATTAAAATAAAACCGATAAAACTTGTTTTTATGATAGGATTTTGCCGAAAAATAAAGAGTTATAGTGCTACTGCGAAGTTGTTTTTAGCTACGTGCTGTTTTTAGCACACGAAACATTTTTGTGACAATATTGACGCTCATTAGTTTTAAAAATTGAAAACTATAAATTAAACCATTTATTTTAGTTGACAAGTTTACTTGTAATTTATCACGTCTACTTTATGTAAATTGTTTTCCATGATACTGAAAAATTAATACTTCGTTTTTTAAATTTTAAATGAGTTTAACGTTTGTCCGCTTATTAAAATATAGTTTATGACTACGAAATCACGTAAATATTGTGAAAATGATATCCCTTTGCTACATGCAAAATAAATTGGATTTCTCAGCACTTCTACAGAAGTATATGTTGGACGAAGGAGTTCGCTAATAAGTATTTTTGGTCTTGGTGATCTTTCGTAGAATATTATGACGAACATATTGTCATAATTATTAAAGATCGTAATTGCACAAAATTTTATAAAAATATGGGTGGATATAATTTTCACTAAGCAACTCACCATACATTATCCGCTTACTTCTTGATTCAAAAATTAATTTCAATAACTTCATGAATCTAAATATGCATTGTTGTATCACTGTCAGTTTGCTGTCAGCTGCAACAACGAATTGGAGAAGTAGTACGTCAGTCCATTGGTGCCGAAATGTTAGAACAGAATTGAAGCTTGTGAGCAGAGATCGGGTAGTCACATCGAAAATGTTGTTCAGAACATCTTGTGGTTCATTGTAAAATAATAACCACTGATTTAAAATGTCTTGTGTTTATTATGGACGTATGTAACAGTACACTGATGTTTCAAAAAGCAAACTTGGATTCATGGCATTTTGAAAATTGAATTTTTTATCAAGTAATAACCGGCAAATGTATGTTGGGGTGCCTATAAAAAAGGGGTAAGTGGGTTATTTAAGCTGCACCACCCTGTATATTTATTGGCATTCATGATGCACTACTTACAACGTCATGTGTGTGGCGACGGATTAATAATAATAATAATAATGCATGTGATGAGTAACACGTAAGTTACATTATGATGGCATATCAAACTAGAATCATTCAACATTTTATCTACGATGGTTATATCATGCCCAAATAAAAAAAATGTGAATATTTCAATTTGGAACTTTCATGACTAAAGTTATGTTAATTATTCGACTGCAGTCGCCTACAAGAGGGATGACTAATTTAATCACATATGATATTAAAAAACGGAGGGCAATGTTGTCATTAATTATTCATACGTTTAGAAAATTGCCTCTTTTTGGGCCTTTCCAATTCTCATGAAGTCATTAAACAAACAAGAAATTGCTTGTGTCAATCATTTGCACAAATGCTCGCAGATTCTGGTGTTGAATTGCTCACTGTAAAGCGTGAATGATCGATTTCAGCAATAATCGTAAAATGTACATGGACTCTATTTCTAATTCTATCATTTCTGGGAATGCCCAACTTTGATATTCTGGATCGATTTCGGTCGCTAGTTGGCAGTAATCGCCCAAACTTCGCAGTCAAAGTATAACTAAGACGATTCTATTAGTAATTTACCCAAACTCTTCTTGAGTTTGGAACTCAAATTCCTATCCCACTAAATTAAATATTCAACGAATTTCTTGACCGACTGAATGCGAAGCTTAATTTTGTATTGCTGTAAACCGTTCCCAACAATCGTGGCTCCCAGCTACTTCAATATCCGGACTTCTTTTAACCGGGTTTTATTTTTTAATTTATTTTAATAATTAAGATTTAAGCACTTGTAGATGCCCCAACATCTACAATAGTAACTGTACAATAGTTAAAACCTCGTTAAACTTAATTTTGGTGCCATTAACTCACCTTTTTAATTAATACATAAAAGATAATACATTTCGAGATGTCTTAAAATTTTTAAAAGTTATTCCAATAGTTCTTAAGAAAGGAAATCTTGGAAATGTTAAAACAACAAATTTTTAAATTCCTTGATGGGACCTAATCATCTGGCAATTTGGTAATGAACAAAGTTTGCCGTAGTGTGTTGACATGGTTTGATATATTCATCCAATTACAGGAAAAAACTAAAACTAATTGTAACTAATTTAAGGTAGATATAACACTAAAAAAGAAAAACCAATAATACTGGGGACTAATTATTATTACTATTACTAATTTAACAACCTTCTAAACATGCCAAGGAACTTAAACACTGAGGACTAAAAACTAAAAATTAGGAAATCCTGTGACACAAAAGAAGTAAGGAAAAATAAGAATGAAAGACACAAAAACAATCAGACTTCTAGAAACGAAACAACAATGTTTGAAATTGGGTGAAAGTAAATATCACACCCACAATTTAAGTTGTTAACTAGATCCAACATTTTCGCCACTGGTGGGTGACCCAACTAAGACATTGCTCCATTGGTGCAATAAAATGTATTCGAATTTCTTGAGTTTAAACGAGGAACTAGAAAAAAGGTATGAACAATCCAGCTGCAAGTTGACCAGATTATATCAGAAACGAAAGATGCTGACAACACGCCTGGTATACAGTATGGTACAACTGAATCTAGTTAACAGAGCAGAATGATAAAAGCCGCTAGGAGATAACTACTATCAATCAAATATGATAGGAATTTCAGATACTTTCTCTGTTGTGCTTCCAAATGCTTCAAGTGAATATAATTGAGATACCAAATCACTACACCGTACTCTAGCCCGGACCTTATTAGCGACCAAAACAAATGGACTAAAACAGATATATTAGAAAAATATTTACAATTTCTATAAATGAAACCATAAGTTTTATATGTTTTAGCTAAGATATCTACCATATAATCGGCGAAATAAAATTTCTGGTCAAATAAGATACCAAAAATTTTGGATGAATCAACACGACTTACGCGAACCCCATTCAAGATAAAATTATGCCGATACAATTCTTTTTTCCTTGTGAAAGACATTACGTTACATTTGGATACATTAAGTGTTAACGATTTTTCTTACAGCATTTCAATAATAATTGATTTAAAGCGTTTTGCAAAGCTATGCTAATATCAGTTTATTCTATTTCGATGACGAGTCCGAAAGCTAACTTTGCTCTTCTTTATCAACATTTAGCACAAGTTGACTTTAGTTTCCTAGAGAAATCCACTAATGTGAACGAAACTTGTAACAGGTTTTATGCTACATTGTATGAAGATTTTCCCTCTATATTCCTATACGTAAACAAAACGTAATTAGGTACTTTCCGGCATGGTTTTCAAGAGAACTTATTAATTTAATAAAAAAGAAAGAACGTAGGTATCTAGAAACTTTCTAAATCACGGTCTTCTGATTATTTGCGGACAGAACTACTATCGTTGCGTAAACAAATTAAGAAACTGTCACGTCAATGTTACAGCGGTTTTACTTAACCGACATCCAAATCACTATTAATACAGATCCAACCAAATTTTGGAATTACATCAAAACTAAACGCAATCAAAAACGTATACCCAGTAATATGCACTACCAAGACAAAGTTTATACTAATCCACAGGATATACTCGATGCTTTTTCACAGTTTTTTAGTAGTACCTTTATCAACTCTAGGCCAATTCCACCTCAGAATTATACACATAGTCCTGCTGATGTTAAGTATTACCCGAGAAATTATGGAAGAAGACATTTGTACAGCTGCTAAAAAACCTAGTATCAAATTTACTTCTGGAGATGATGGAATACCATGTTTCATCGTGAAGGACTGCATTTCTATATTGTCTATCTTTTAATCTATCTTTGCGCACAGGAATCTTTCCTAAAATGTGGAAGATAGCTACAATCTGTCCTATACTCAAATTCAGTGATGCGGAAATAATCTTAAATTACAGGCCGATTTCAATTATCTGTAACTTTTCAAAATTATTTGAAATTGTGTTGTATAATCACATTTATTTTCAAATAAAAAACACAATTTCCAACATTCAGTATGGGTTTGTAAAAGACCGATCCAAGACAACTAATCTATTCGTATTAGTATAGTACTTATCGGAGGTGTTAGACAGAAATGGACAGGTTGATGTGGGATATTTAGACATTCATAAGGCTTTTGACACCACTGACCATAATTTACTATTACAGAAATTAGGAACTATGGGTTTCTGGGACACGTTGCTGTTACTATTTACCGATCGGCAATCGGCGACAATACGTTCAATATAATGGATTTACATCTAAGACGTATACTGTTAGATCGGGTGTACCTCAAGGCAGTAACCTGGGTCCCTTATTATTCCTAATTTTTCCATCTACAAAGCTTCTTTTATTTGCTGACGACAAAGATTTTTAAGGAGATCAATAATTTGGATGATGCGTACGATCTCCAAAAGAATATGGACAGAATTGTGGAACACTGCATATTAAACCGATTCGAAGTAGCCCAAGACAAATGCAAGATAATGACGTTTACCAAAAGGAAGTGTATCACGTTGTACAATTATAAAATTAACAGCAAATTACTTTATCGCTGTGAGAGTATTACTGCATTTCGGAATTACATTTGACACCACATTATCTTTTGTGGAGCATACTAACAACACAATAAATGAAGCGTTCAGGTTCTTAGGATTTGTTATTAGAAATTCACATGATTTTTGGAATAGTAATTATATTAGTGTTTTGTACAACTCATATGTGAGATCAATTTTAGAATATGGTTCCATCATTTGGTCTCCAATATACGATGTCTATATTGACAACTTGGAAAAAATACAGAGACGCTATTTAAAATTTCTGGTATACAAATATGACAAAGTCTATCCTGAAAGAGGTTGTCCTCAATCTGAATTGCTTTAAAGGTTCCAAATCCTACCATTAAGAAAAAGAAGAGAAAAGATGTATGTATATAAAATTTCTGTACAATCTCTTACACAACAGGATTGACGCGCCAGACGTTCTTGAAGAAATTTACTACATGATTTCTAGTTATCAAGGTAGAAGCACTCCCACACTTCAGCTCGACGCCTCGAACCAATTTGTTGGTAAAATCGCCAAAATACACAATGTGTAATCTGTTTAACAAGATATTCGTCAACTGTGATATAAACCATGACAATCTCAAAAGTATTTTAGAATGTTTCTGTAAAGTAGTAGGTATTTGAATAAATACGAGTGTTAAATTAGAAGATATCAGTGTAGGAAATATGTGATTTATTATATGTATTTATTGTTTTTTTTTGTCCTGTAATTGGAACCAGGTTCTGTTTGGACAACAAAGGTTTATTATTATTATTATTATTACGAGTTTCATATCGTCAGCAAATAATAATTTCTTGCAATGAATTTTGTCAACTGTATCGTTAATAAGTAAAACGGAATAAAAGCGGATCTAGGTTAAATCTTTGGGGCACACCGGAAGTAGGAGAAAAATTTGAGGAGTGAAAATTGCTGTATCTAAGAAACTGAACTCTGTTAAATAGGTATGATTCAATAAGCGACTGAGTGAACCCATAATTAATAAAAATGAAATGTATACAATAACAACAGTGTAGTCCGCATATTTTACGCTATAAATTTCAGATCACAGTTTTCACAATAATAGTACCCAGGTGCTAAAATCGTGTTTAAGTAATAAGATACAGTTTGTGGCGGTGAATCAGTCGTGTTCATCTTATCCAGGCACGAGCGAGTTTCCCCAAGTATATGTGTTTGGTCCGCTGTTATTTATTATAATATATACTAATTATTGATCTTTTTCGGCACGCTATGTAACTTTCAATTTATTTGCTCATGACAGTACCGTTTCAATATCAAATAATAATCTTCCACAATTAATTTTGGACAAACAACTAGCTACTCTACTCTAATAATTTAATTCAAAATCAGAATAAAACTCAAAGTCTAATGTACCGGTTCAGGGAATCAGACGATCTTAATGAACTTGTCAAAATTCATTTTGAAAAGTTCATGAAGTAGAAAAAATGCTTCATTAATTTAGATTTTCCGTTTAAAAAAATCAACCAATGTTAATGAAAATTTCAATAACATTTCAGAGAGTAGAGTTTAAATAATTTTACCTGAATGCCAAATTTCAATGAGTTCTGATAAACCGTTCTGGAAATACTTAGCCGTATCCATATTTTTTAGCAAATCTGTATATATTAAATTATATACTCAGTTAACATAAATTCATAATAACATTACAACCTGGTCATCCTATTGGAATAAACAATTGTTGCATAGTTTCTGTTCCACCCCCACAGTACAATCTCCATATAAACGTTAAACAATATCCTTGTCGGAGTCCCTTTGTAGTAACGAAGCTTTCTTGTAGTTGACTTTTTTAATTTTATAATATATTTAATCTCTACTTGATCATTATCCATTTCCATGATTCCAAGTGCTTCCCATAATTGCTCCCGAGGTACTGCGTCGTATGCCTTCTCCGGTTCTACGAAGGCTAAAAGGACTTCTTGCTTTAAGATTATTTTTTAAGAAGTTATTGCACGATAAATAGATTTCCCGGGCAAGATTTTCTGGCGTAAAGTCACTTTTATATTCTCCAATGTTGTCCCCAACATTGTCTTTAACTTAGACTCTAAAAGTCTGCCGAACAATCTACCCATAGAGCTAGGTAGTCCTCGATAGCAATGTGGATCTCCACGATTGCCCTTTGTGAAAATAAATAGTATGTTGAAAGTTTTCCGCTTATCAGGCACTTTCGAAGCAGTATAAATATTTCCCGGATCGGGTGATCTTTCATTGTCCATCGTCCTTAAGGAGTCCTGTACATCTTATTTGGTAAAGTACCACTTCATCAATGTTTAGGTACTATTATGTATATCTCCAGATTATTTAGCTTAATTGAAAGCTCGTTACTTATCGATGTTTCACGAGATGAGCAACTTCAAAATGATTCTATGTAGAATAAAATTAGAAAATAGTAAGACTTTATCAATCATTAGGAAAAATACTCAGTCGAAATTTTAAAATACGAGAAGTCTGACAGTCAATCTTTTTGATTTAGAAGATCTATTTCTGCATATTTATCACAAGTCTCGATCGCTGTACTAAGCTTAACCATCATATGGTACCACTTTATCAATCACCAAGGACGAATTTTATTAGGAACTCTGGAGAAATGTAGAATTTTCACGACATGCCCTTTCACAGAATAAATCTCTTTTGAATGAAAACATAAAGGGTACCACTTTATCAAAAATTAGAAATTCAACGTCTGCTGTATGTATACTGATTTCGGAAATTCAAGAGAAGATAAAGTCGAATCACCACGGGTTATCTTACTATCAACGACTAGAATCTCAATCGAAAGTTCTTGTACACGACCTATCACAAATTGATTGTTTTGAATAATTAATTCATATCGTTTTATCATTATTTTCACTGTTAAAAATTCTGACTAAACATTAAAATTTTACTACACAGCTGATTATACAATAATTCTGTTTTGAAGTAACTCACATGGTACCACTTCATCAATGTTCAGGTACTAATATATCTCCAGATTATTAAGCTTAATTGAAAGCTCGTTACTTATCAATGTTTCCACAGACATAAAAAACAGTAAGTACTACTTT